GAAATATGATGTTTGCTTCGTCTGAAATAGTTTCCTAAAGAAAATTTGTTTGTTATCATTAAAACTTATAACCTCTTGAGAATTCAAGATCGTCTTTTAATTTTACAATGTATATTATGAAGAGGTTTCTGTTATGATGTAAGAAAATCAACCTATTGCTAACACACACAATGTTAAAAGGTACACTTGAGAAATAGGTGAGTTTGAGGTTCAAGAGATGGAAAACTCTCAACCTGGCCGACATGTAATGGTCTTTAGTGTTAAAATTAAATTAATGATGGTGTGAACCGATCTTAAAAGTTGTAACCTTATTTACAAAAATGTCACCGCGTCACTTTTAAGATCAGCTCTTTAGTGACCGATCTTAAAAGTTGTAACCTTATTTACAAAAATATCACTACGTCGCTTTTAAGATCGGCTCTCTAATAGCTGATCTTAAAACCCCGATCTTGAAACTAATTTTTGTACTAGTGGCACTAAGACTTTCTTGTTCTCATGTTATTACATCATGTGCCTATTGTAAATTAGATTGACATTTTTTTATCCCATTTATAAGTTGGAAAACATTTACAAAGCATACAAACATGAGTTCCATCCCCTTCAAAATAAAGACTATTGGCTTTCATATTCAGACTCAAATTTTATGCCAAATCCTGTCCTACAATGAAGCACATATGGAAGGCTAAGTACTAGTTGTGTACACAATGAAATGGATCAACCAAATTAAAACAAGCCAAATAAATGATCACTTTGTGAAACTGAAGGATTTAATTATAGTAATTATCCTTTTAAGGGAATTAATATGTAAAATATTATCTTCTAATTTTTTTATGTTTAATTTAAATTTATGATGTATTTAATTTAAATTTATGTTCATTGTTATGTATCACTTTAATATTATTATTATTATGGTGTTTATATGATTATATACATATAATATTCACTATTAATAAATTTTTTATTCTTAAGTAAATATAGATTTTATTAATAGTAATTTTACAAAATTTATTTTAATTTTTAAAAAAGTCACCTACAGACGCTTTACGCCTAATCATTCCGGATAACGCTTGCATCCTCCATCTTACCGTGATTGCTGGCACAGAGCTAGCCGATATTTACTTCCCAGATACCGTCATTAATTGCTTCTTCTCTGAGAAAAGAAATTCATGACCCTTACACCTTCTAATGTTTAAATATTTCAAAAACACGATTTTTTTAATTATACGTTAAAGTAATATTATTTTAATGCTTAAATAATTAAAACATGACCAGTTGTGTTCTAAATCCACGATTTTGCTAATTTACCATTCTTCATACATTAAAATAACAAAAAAATAACAAACGTTATTTTTTTTTAAATACGACTTTGATTAAAAAAAATAAAAAATAATAATATTATTATTGAAAGTCGTATCATTAAAAATAACTTTGATTTTTAAATTAAAAATAAATTAAAAAAATTATAAATACAAAAGTCATGTTTTGAAATACGATTGTTATGTTAAGTTTAGGGTATTCCAAACACAACTTGTACTGACCGTACCGCGAAGCCGAGCTCCAAGCTCGGTCAAAATTTTGCCCAAATGCTCCCACGAAACCCTAGATGCCTTTCTTCTCTCTATAAGTGCTCTAGGTCATCCACCTTGTAGCCACTTTGGAAATTAATGATATTGAGTGAGCCTTGTGCCATTGGAGGCTAGTCATATTTTTCTTGGGAGGCCTTGGCAATTTGATAAGAAAACAATCCATGATGGCCTCACCAATAAGATAAGTTTCCAACACTTGGGAAGAAAAATCATTGTGTCCTTTATCACCTTCTCAAGTGAGTGAAGATCAAATCAAAATGAAAGCTAAGAGGGAATAAGAGGAAAAACAAAGAAAACAAAAACAAAAATCAAAAAAGGAAAAAAAAAGGTCCTCCTTCATGGACTAAAGAAAGAGAAGAGGAGGTATCAAGTTTAGAGGCAAGTGTCCCTTCTAAAGAAGTTGTTCACAAGAGTCACTTATCTCTCAAAAATGATATTAAGAAAACACTCTTGCTTGAACAACCTTTATACCTTCTTTGTTTCAAAGAGACACTCACTGCCACTAGTCATAAACTTGAGTCTCTACCTCAAGGGTCCAAATACTTTTGAAAGAATTTGATGATCTATTCCCTCAAGAGGTTCCAAGTGGACTTCCACCTTTAAGAGGAATAGAGCATCAAATAGACCTCATTCCAGGAGCAAGTCTACCAAATAGGCCTGCCTATAGGACTAATCTCCAAGAAACCAAAGAGATAGAAACTCAAGTTGAGGACTTGTTGAAGAAGGGATGGGTTCAAAAGAGCTTTAGCCCTTGTGCCGTCCTCGTTCTTTTGGTGCCTAAGAAGGATGGCAAATGGAGGATGTGCACGGATTGTAGAGCCATCAATAACATCATCATAAAATATAGGCACCCAATCCCTAGGCTAGATGATATGTTAGATGAGCTACATGGGGCCATCATATTCTCCAAAATTTGATCTTAAGAGTGGTTATCACCAAATTAGAATCAAAGAAGGTGATGAATGAAAAACTGCTTTTAAAACCAAGTTTGATTTGTATGAATGGTTAGTGATGCCTTTTGGTCTCACCAATGTCCCTAGCACCTTCATGTGTATAATGAATCATGTACTTAGGGATTGCAAAGGGAAATTTGTAGTTGTTTATTTTGATGACATTCTAGTTTTTAGCAAATCCTTAGATGAGCATCTTGGACATCTAAGAGGAGTCTTAATAATTCTTAGGGACAACCACCTCTATGCCAACTTGGAGAAATGCACCTTTTGTAAAGAGAATGTGAACTTTTTGGGTTTTATAGTTGGCAAAGAGGGTGTGCAAGTTGACCCCGAGAAAATAAAAGCCATCCAAGATTGGCCCATCCCAAAAAGTGTGGGAGATGTAAGGAGCTTCCATGGTTTGGCAAGCTTCTATAGAAGATTTGTGAAAGACTTCTCCACACTTGCATCCCCTCTTAATGAGCTTGTTAAGAACGATGTTCCTTTCATTTGGGGTCAAGCCCAAGAAAAAGATTTCAGTGATCTTAAGGAAAAGCTCACCAATGCACCCATTCTAGCCCTCCCAAACTTTGCTCAAACCTTTGAGCTAGAATGTGATGCATCTGGTTTTGGCATACGTGTCGTGTTTCTTCAAGGAGGCCACCCCATTGCTTACTTTAGTGAAAAACTTCATGGAGCCACCTTGAATTATCTCACCTATGACAAAGAGCTTTTATGCCCTCATTATAGCCCTCCAAGTTTGGGAGCATTACATAGTGACTAGGGAATTCATCATACACACTGATCATGAGTCACTTAAGTACATTAGAGGGCAATGGAAGTTAAACAAAATACATGCCAAGTGGTTGAATATCTTGAGCAATTCCCTTAGATTATCAAATATAAGAAGGGAAATAATAATGTGGTGGCGGATGCTTTATCTAGAAGGCACTCATTACTTTTTTCCTTGGGGTCTCAAATTCTTGGTTTTGATATTATAAAGGAGTTGTATGAGGATGATCAAGATTTCCAATCCACCTTCACCAAATGCCTCCAAATTCCTTTTGATGGGTTCTATCTTCTTGAGGGGTACCTTTTTAAAATGGGAAAACTTTGTATACCCCAAGGATCCATTGGAAAGCTTTTGGTTAAGAAAAGTCATGAGGGAGATCTCATGGGCCATTTTGGGGTTGATAAAACCCTAAGCCTTTTGAAATCAAAATTTTATTGGCCACACATGAGAGTGGACGTTCAAAGGCATTGCTCTAAGTGTATCACTTGCCTTCAAGAAAAATCAAGAGTAATGCCTCATGGACTCTACACCTCTCTTCCTATAGCTAGCTCCCCTTGCGTTGACATTAGCATGGATTTTGTGCTTGGTCTCCCAAGGACCCAAAGGGGGTTTGATTCTATCTTTGTGGTTGTGGATTGTTTTAGAAAAATGGCTCATTTTATACCATGCCACAAAGTAGATGATGCTAGTTATATTGCTAAACTTTTCTTCAAAGAGGTGGTCCGTTTGCATGGGTTATCCAAGACTATCGTGTCTGATAGGGATGCTAAGTTCCTTAGTCACTTTTGGAAAATTCTTTGGGAAAAACTAGGAACAAAGCTTCTCTATTCCACTACTTGCCACCCACAAACCGATGGGAAAACCGAAGTAGTGAATAGGTATCCACATTGTTGAGGGTCATTTTAAAAGGGAACAAGAAAACTTGGGATGAATGCCTCCCCCACATAAAGTTTGCTTATAATAGAGTAGTCCACAAGACTACTAACCTATCTCCTTTTGAGGTTGTATATGGCTTTAATCCCCTAACCCCTCTTGACTTTCTCCCATTCCCTAATACTACTTCCTTGTACCACAAAGAAGGAGTATCTAGGGCTGAATTTATAAGAAAATACCATGAGAAAGTCATGAGCCAAATTGAAAAAAAAAAACCAAAAAATATGCCAAGTACAACAACAAAGGGAGGAAAAAGGTAACCTTTGAAGTTGGGGATTGGGTTTGGCTTCACTTGAGAAAGGATAGATTCCATACTCAAAGGAAGTCCAAATTAAGCCCGAGGAGAGATGGCCCTTTCCAAGTTATTAGAAGGATTAATGACTCTATAAGTGCTCTAGGTCATCCACCTTGTAGCCACTTTGGAAATTAATGATATTGAGTGAGCCTTGTGCCATTGGAGGCTAGTCATATTTTTCTTGGGAGGCCTTGGCAATTTGATAAGAAAACGAAATTCATTTATTATTTTATAATTTTGAAATAAAATTATATTAACACAAAATAACATTTATTCATTGTAGTACTTTTATTTATATTTTTTAATGAAACTTGATGAATTTATTAAAATATTAATATTTTTACTGTACATCAACACTATAGCACCTTAAAATAATACTAATGTAACAGCTACAACAAACTAGTACACCGTGAACCATATTACATGTGGGTTCACGGTAGCAATCACCGTTTGCGCCGGCATAAACATGAAAAAGTCATTGATATACAGTTCAAATAAATACAACTTTTCACATGCAACTGGCCTTGCAAACAAATGCTAGAAACATTTAGCTAGCCTAGTTTTTCCTTTAGCATTTGTGAAGTTTGTGACAGCACAAAAAGTGAAAAAAGTTATTGATCTACAGTTCAAATAAACACAAATTTTCACATGCAACTGGTCTTGCAAACAAATACTAGAAACATCTAGCTAGCCTAGTTTTCCCTTTTGCATTTTGTAAAGTTTGTGACAGCACAAAAAATGAAAAAAGTTATTGATGTACAGTTCAAATAAAGGCAAATTTTCATACACGGATGACGAAAAAAAATCCATGACAGAATCCTGCAATGCCCACACTTATTAGACAATAACACAACTTGTGACTGTACTTCGCACAGAGATGAAAGTTTGGATAACAGTTATTTTGATGTATTGGCACCTGTACATAAATTGAAAACAATATTACACGTCTAAATTAATGGAAGATAAAAAAAAAAAAAAGACATTGATGAAAACAAAACAAGTACTATAAAGCATAGTTGTATGTCTCCAAATCAGGAATTGACCTCATCTTAAGGTTGGACCTCCTGGTCATATGGTTGAACCAGAAAACTCCCAAGAAAAAAATTCTAGTATATTTCAAACACTTTCGTCTATTTTAATCAACCAAAACAATCTACTTACCTTTTAACGTATCTTTGTTCCTTGTCTAATTATATTACTAAAGAATACTATTGTTACGTTAGTAATGCCAAATGAAACCTTTTTAGAAACTTTAGTACGAAAGAAAATTCATACTACTACCCTTTTGGCAACTCTAAAAGTTAATAGCAGACAAAAATAATCACTGGTCAGCAATATTAGAACTCCTCTCCGACCATTTGAAACATACTAATGAATTAATAAAATATATGAAACCAGAAATAGTGAAATGTTGCCAAAAGTTGTTAAAAGGATCGAAAAAGGTACAAAAATTTTCAAATCAACATACCGCTGCCACTAATAATTTGTTAAATTGCTAAAATCCTTACTTTGCCAATTCAAATATCAGGACTGATAGAAAACTAACCTTGTTTTTCTTCGTCGATAGGCTCGGATTTCCAAACAATGTCTTTTAGCCCAGTAGAAAGGTTTTTGTAGAACTGCAAAGAAAGAAAAGTTAGTCCAAGCGAGCTAATGAAAAAAGAAAATATATTTTGCAAGAACAAATGGGAAAAAGGAGGCAATTTTTCCATCCCTGCTAAGCTGAATGGAGTTCTATTTTGTGTTGGCTTTATTGCTATAGTAGCTGACAGGATTCAGTAACTTGTATATACTTATACAAGAAATGCTAATGCTAATACTCTATCTGTTATTGATTGAAAATCACAAATTTTGGTGAGTCCTACTACTAAATCAGAAAGAAACTCAATAAATGAGATGTGTGACCCACAAAATTTGTAATTTCCAATAAATTTCAGCCTATAATAAAGAGTATTAGAAAAAGTGTCAAAAAAATGTCACCAGTATTTCTTGTATATATAAATAGGCTGGAAGTAAGTGATATGATTCATATGTGGGAAACCAGGATAGTCCATCGCAAGCTCTTGAAACCATAAGAGAAGTAGTGATAATGTAGAGTTGGAGAAAAATACTGTTTTATTGGTGTGAACCCAACATAAGTTGTGATAATGTAGAGGTATTAATTTCACTCCCATATACAAAATACATGCATAATAATTTGTGCATTGAACTTACCTTGTGAAATTCCAGAGTATCTCCTTCAGACTTACGCAGCTCAACCATGTATAGTGAAGGGGCCACCTCTAAGATCTGGAAAGCAACACTTTAAGCATTAGGAATAATCCCGAGTCCTGAATATAAATAAATTATTGTGAAGGACACCGCAGATAATGAAAGCAAACTTTGAAAACTATACCTCAGTAGCCACAGACAGATGACCTTTCCGTCCAGTCTTTTCTCCTTGAATCTTTAACTGAAGTGCAGAATAAATAATATATACAATAGAATTAGAAACTTATTTCCAAGGTACTAGTACTAGAAATTAGGCCCGATATATATATATTGCTTTATTAACTATATAGACAAGATATATAGTATAGATATTTTTTACCTTACAGTTGTTCTTCTTAACATCAAAACCCAGGGGTCCTGCAGCTTGTTCAATTTTTGAAATTATTTCATCTGCTGGATATTTGGATGTGAACCGTGTTTCCCTTTTAACTAGTCCCTGAATGTCAAAAAGTAAAGCTAGCATTAACCATTATATTCGAGAACTGCATTCTTGATTCATGTAACTTGTAATCAACTAATAGCATAACATGATGGTGTGAAAAGCGAAAATGAAAAAGAAAAGAAAATATTACTTGTGATCTGATCACAATGTAATTTGACAAGTCCTCGCAAGACTTTTTTATTTTTCATTTCCTATGTCAAATTTCTAGGATGCCAAGCTCTAATAAGAGAAAAGTATAGAATTCATTTCTTATAAAGACACATACCATTTGCTTCTCAAAAAGACTACTAAGATTGAGGCCCTGAGATTTGGAGATGAGCTCAAAGGCATTCAGAGTCACAGGTGCTGCAGGTGCCACAGGCCCCACTTCACGCTTCTCTACAACAAGATTTTTTGAATCCTGTGTACCAAAGTGAACATTGAGATAGAGGTTAGAATCCAAAGCCTTGATGAACAAAATCTAATCAAGATTAACAGCTAAAATCAAAGACTTACCGTAGATTCACCGAAAATAGAATTTACATCATCAAGACTAACATTAGCCTGTTCAAATACGGGTGGCTTATATCCTTTCTTGAACCAATCATTCTCAATGACCTCAGCAAATGTAATCCGCTGTTTCATATTATTAAAAGAAAAAGAGAACAAGGTTGTTCACATTTGTGGTGACATGGAGGGAAGAATAAGAGTATTGTTAAACACCACATTAGTAGTAGAGTAGAATTAAAATTAAATTAAACAAAGAAAACACATACAGTGGCAGGATTGGGATCAAGGATTCTGTTGATTAGTTTCTTTGCACTTGAAGAGAACCATGGGGGGCACGTGAACTCAGCCTTGAAAATCTGTCAATGAAAATAAGGAAAGGAAGAGAAAAACAAACACATTACTTATTTGCAAATCAGGCTTCAACTTGGCAATTTCCACAGCAACTTGTAACTTAACTCCTCCGCGAAGGGAGTAGTTGACAAAAGACAATGCGTTGCTAGAAACAAAAAATGCTAAAGGTCATTTTGATTAACCTAAGTCAATGTGGTGAGTTTTGTATATACAGTTTCATTCATGCTTATTATCTAATTCATAAACGGTATCTCATTTAACAAAAATGAAATAATGAGCATGCATGCATGCATGAGAATTTTTATTAATGTGCTGCTTCAATCCTAACCGATTCTAATCCACAAAAGATTATAACGATAAAAAATGTTTGAGAAGACTATGCTCTCCAACAGCAACATCAGAATAATGCGAACCAAGTTTAGTTAGGTGAACAGAAAGAAATAGACATGGAGTAAAAAAAAACCTTTTTATATAAAGCTGTTAGATTGGTTTCTTCAAAGGGCAAATAGCCAGCCATTAAAACAAAGAGAATACAACCACATGACCATAGATCTGCCTTTGCACCATCATAGCCTTTGTTGTGAATCACCTAGATGATAAGGAAGCAGTGATAACAGAAAAATAAAAGGTTTATGAGATAAAATGTTTTGGTAACAAGTAGCAAAAGCTAATATACCTCTGGAGCAACATAATTTGGCGTACCGCATGTTGTGTGAAGTAGCCCATCTTCCTATTTAAATAGGATAACTGGTTACAAATTGAACATTATTGTATTTATAGTTTGTTTGGATACAAACTTAGAAGCGTTTTTTAGAACTTTTCATTAAAACTCTCAAAAACACTTAAAACTTGTATCCAAAGAAGCTGTTACTCTTTTTAAAAAATTAGTCCATACTCACCCGAAGCTGTTGAGGCAATGCACTCAATCCAAAATCTGATACTTTAAGAACTCCATTAGCATCCAGCAGTAAATTCTCCGGCTTTAACAGATATAAAACAAAGGAACATGTTAGTTTTCTTTATTGCTTTTTTCCTTCCTTCCTCTCACTCTTTCACACACACACCCCATGTGAGTAAATACATTCCCTTTTTAAAAACAAATTCTTTCACTGGGAATGCATCACTAAATGTTCAGAAACCTATAATTTGAGTCCCACGCCAGCACCCCTCTTTGAAAAGGTAAACAAAGGAAAAATGTAATCTGGTGCAAGTGGTACACACCTTTAGGTCTCTATGGAAAACACCTCTACTATGACAGTAATCCACAGCACATATAAGCTGTTGAAAATATTTTCTTGCTTCGTCTTCTTTCAACCTCCCGCTGCGTGCCTGGCTCAGGTTAATAGCAATAAAAGCACCAAGAGTTAGATAATGAACAAGATATCAACAGGACTCCGACCTTCAGAAGAACATGGAAAAGATAAAAAGTAAAAACTGACTTACAATTTTATCAAACAGCTCTCCACCAGTCACAAATTCCAATACAATGTATATCTTTGTTTTGCTAGCCATTACCTACACCGGGATTAGTCATTTACTATGCAGTTAGGAATGGCTGAGATAAAAAAAACTCAGGAAAATATGAAAATAGAAATAAATTATTCAAAATGTAAAAGTACTAAGATGCAATCATTTGCTTCCTTCTAACCTCATACATACGTATGACATTTGGGTGTCTAATCAGTTTCATAGTTGATATTTCTCGTTTTATCTGCATATCAGTAAACAATATAAAATATCAGGAAAGAATTAGAATATTCATGCTTCAAATAAAACACTAAAAAATATAGCAGAAGATAAGTTGTTCACATCTAGGATCTACTATGGTCGTGCTACCCATGCCTATGTGAGGAGAGATTCTCACCAACAATGTTAGAGTTAAAATTTAACTCCAAAACTTTTTGTTTTCCAATATCACAGAAAACATGCAGTATAAAACTTAAACCATTGACCTGTATAATTGACATCACAACACTAGCTGACTAGCATAAAGGAACTCTATAATGTAGTACAAGTTTTAGAGTGAGATTTCACATCAGGGAGTGGTAGTTTTTGGGTCATTTAGGAAAAAAATAGTTTTGGACATTTTATGATATTTTAACATTTTATGTGATTATTTTTAAGAGGCTTTAACTTTTAATATTGGTCTTGAATTTTAATTATTTTAACTATAAATAGCCTCTTTATTGTTGGGACTTGGGAGAAAAAGTCCCACATTGGTAAGTAATGTTGGACCCCACTAAGGCTTTAAAAGAAAGTCTACTGGTCCCATTTTATAAGCATCTCAAAATCTTCTTTCCTCTCCTTTGTATTTCTTTTGTCTATTTTGAGATAGAATTTCTTTTAGTAGTGATGTTTTCCTATTTTATATAGAGGAGTGTTGTAATTTTTCTATAATGAAATCTCAATTAGTATTTTTTTTATATCGTACATAAACACATACATAAATGTTTTTTTTTTCTCGAGACTTTTAAAAATATATATCACTAATGAATATCAAATATTATTATTTTAAAAATAATATATATCTATGATTCTGTTTAAAATAGACAGAGATACAAAGGAGAAAAAAGAAAATTTTGAGATGCTTTTAAAATGGGATTACTAGCTTTAGCCTTAGACCACCTACGTGGGACTTCGTCTCTTAACATTTATGTCTTAAACAACAATTTTGTGTGAGTTTGAATTTGGCAGAAAATTTGAGAGTTTTCCTTTCGTTGTTAGGTAGGAAACTAGCTCTACACTAACCCCATCTCTCAAATCTATTATAGAAGATCTATGGCCAACTTTATCAAATTCGTTTATAGTTTATAAGTTTCTATCAACGCAAGTGATGGAACTTGCATTAAGTTTGGGAAACTTTTGACATAAGTAATTTAGACACATCAATTTTATCTAATCATTCAAATAAATTTTATAAATAAGAATGAATTTTACTCATTTAAAATCAAATAGACTTCACGATTACCAATAGTAATTTTTTTTATATAAATTATTAATTATGGGTTTGGTTCCGCAAATAAATGAAAATCTCTACAGTACTTTCAAGTTTCAAAGACAGAACACTGTACATAGAAACTCTAACCCACTCAGAAGATGACAAACTTCACTTTACACAAAAGCTTGCAAGCTCAACATCTTAACTCTTAAGATTTGACTTCCACAATGTAACACAGTTCCGTAGAATGTAAGAAAACAAATACTAGAAATAAACCAAAGGCGTGAAGCCTCTCGCGATTTCCTAGAAACCCAAAACATTCACTACTCCAAAACAATAAACTAAATCCAAAAAACGACAACTTATATTACGTCAAACCACCTCATCCATAATATTCTTTCATTAACTCAAAAACAAATAATAATTATAATAACCACAACAAGCACTCATAAAACTCACCACGACTAAAAAGTTTCATCAGTGTATCTTTTATTTTACATAAATCATTCTATCACTGCATCATCATATTCATCAACCACTACTCTTGTTCAAGTCTTTTGTTAATATTTTCTTTGTCGTCATTTAAAAATCATAAATTTTAATAATTTCTATTAGCATCAACAAATGCTCTGTCTAATTATATATTGTTAATATTTTCATTATTATCAGTCAAAATTATAAATTTTGTTACAAAATTAAAAAAAAAATGTTTGACTCAAAAATTTATAATTTATAATTAACAATAAAAGGGTAGCGTGTTAGTGAAAAAATCATTATTCTTCTATTTATCAGTATCATACACTACTAAACTGAATTCCTTTAGAATATCTATATATATTAAAAAAAATATGTATTTAAATTAAACTCGTTTTTTTAAAATATTATTAAAGTATATAATATATATATATATATATATATATATATATATATTCAGAAA